ACGGACTGCTCGAGGAACATTTTGATTTCCTTTGATGATCGTCTTCGGGCTGATGATGTCAATATTGTCCGTTCCGATCACTAGGGCTACGTCGTTGTTGCTGAAGTCCGGAAAACATATATCCTTAAGGTGGTCGTATTGGCTGCAGATGTCGTTCAACTTTTCGGGCTCCGCTGCATTCAAGTTGATGTTCTCTTTGATTAAAACATTAGTTAGTTTAAACGCTAAAGTGTTATTTCCAAATGAATGAACTGTAATATCCACTGTCTTAGCCTCTATCGTTTGCTAGTTGAAGAAACCTCCAATGAGCAGTTGTTCCTGATGGTAAGCTTCCTCCAGTTGAAGATATGCGAAGTCTTCTGGGAAGGCTGGTTGGTTGATGGTCGAGATCCGTTGGCGTCTCGAAGTCTTGGGGCTATTTGTTGTCGATCGTTCGATTCCAGGGTCATTTGCTGCGGTTGCATAGGTGGTAAGTGATCGCGTGCTAATGCAAACTGTCTGATCCAGTCGTTGAAGGCGATAAGATTAGGCTGGTCGATTTTCTGGGCGCTGATGTACTGTGTCCACTGAAGCTGCTGATGGTGTTTCAATTTGCTGACGGTAAATTGAACGTATATTGTAGAGTTTAAGTCGTCTTTGAACCCAAGCGTCCGAAAGGTTTCGACCATGTTACTGATGAATGTGGAAAGTTCCATGTTCGAATCCCTGCGATGAGTTGATGGTTGCTTGAAGCTCTGTAGTCTGTTGACGAAGTCATTGATGATGATGTCGGGTCGTCCATATCGTCGTCGTAGTTCCTGGAGGGCAGCGTTGTACATAGTGCTATTGAAGGAGTAGCCAGAAATAGCTTGTTTTGCTTTTCCAGTCGTTAAAGTCTGCAGATGAGTCATATTTTTGGAGTCCGAGATGGCTTGATTGTGGATTGTTGCTTCGAAGAGTCCGAACTACATGCTCCACTTCATAAGGTTTCCGTTGAAAGGCTCGATTTTTATTTTTGGGGGCCTAGTCATAAGACTGTAGTTTGCTCGTGACTGTCAGTTACTTGATGTCTGAGATACTGCTGCTGGAATGAACTGCTGTTCTGTAACTATGTTGAAGCTGAGGTTTGCGTTGGTGGTGTCGTGTTCTGTTTGTTGAAGTGGTGGCCTGTCTGTTTCGAAACCTGTCAGGGGGACTTGAGGCCGAGTGTATCGTTACTTACTCTCCATCGTATTCCAAGAATTCGCTTGAAGATTTTGGGGTCCTTGATTTCGTCTATGGTGATGGATCTTTGTTCCTCTGGTATTGTTTGCAGAATTCTATAATCTGTAGTGATCCACTTTGTCAGGTTGAAGCTTCCTTGTTGTAGTACGTGTCAAAGGTCTTCTATGATTTTCACTGCGGTGTCGATTTCGTCGGTGGCTTCGAAGAAGTCGTCCATGTATTGATACACTCAGCTTCACTACTGACAAACTACACGAAATTGCCCAGAAGAAACCTACACAACGGAACCTACTTCGCGCAGCTTCTCCTTAATCTTTGACCCAATTGGAATAGCAGCACCTATTACGATTCGACCACGAATAATCCAGCAAGCAATTTGGAGAAAAGAAATGAAGTGGGACGACCAAATTACACGAGAAATGTTACCTGAACTGTTTGAACTTCTCGACGAGAGAAAAGATCTACAGACAGTGGAAATACCCCGACACTATTTTGGATACAGCTCCGACAACATGGCTCTTCATGTTTTTTCAGATGCCTCCTACAGCGTCCTAGCAGCAGTCGCTTATTTTGTATACAGCAACAGTGCCACTCGGCAATTCTGCGGCGCCTTTTTTCTAGGAAAAGCTCGAGTGGCTCCTCTAAAACAACACACAATAACTAAATTGGAACTACAAGCCGCAGTTTTGGTGCTCGCCTCGCAAAGTTCATTCCTAGAGAACAAAGGATTTACATCAACTCTACGCATATGTGGACAGACAGCACAACGGCGCTTCATTGGATACAGGGATTTGATAAACGACAACAAATTTTTGTGGCTCACAGAATTGCAGAAATTTTAGAAAGCACCCAAGCGAGTCAATGGAATCATTGCCTAGGACCCCTAAACCCAGCAGACGACGGAACCCATGGAATACCCCTCTCAGAATTCAGTAACAATTCAAGATAGGTCACCGGACCGAAATTCATATGTGAACCAGAATGCAACTGGTCAAAGCTACAGTTAATCGACGCCAATACGGATACCTTGCAACTCAACGATCAAACTGGACAACTGGATTAAATAGCAACAACTCCAATGCTAGCTTTTCAAGCTTCCACCGTAAAGACAGAACAAAGCTTCATCGATTACAGCAGATTCTCCAAATGGACAAGAGTTCTCAGAACAACTGCATACGTGATGCGTGCCGCCACGATTTTTAAAGATAAAGGACTACAGTCCCGCAACGAAAGCCCGACCACCGAACTGACAAGCAACAACATGATTGCCGCAAAGAACTTTATCTTCAAGAAGACGCAACGAGACAGCTTCAAACCAGAGGTCAACGCATTGACACAAAATAAACGAATCAACACAACTAGCAGACTTCGACACCTATCACCATTTCTAGACGAAGACGGACTCTTGCGAGCACGTGGACGCCTCGAGAAATCTCAATTGGACTATTGCATAAAACACCCGATTATCCTTGATGGAAACCACCCAGCAGTTCACCTCTTTATAGGACAAACCCACAAAGACAACCAGCATTCGCCATGCCAGCACTTGAAAAATATTCTTCAAAACAAGTATTGGATTCTCTGTGTTCGCGCACACATTGACAAGATCATAAAAAACTGTTACGACTGCCGACGAAAACAGGCAACTGGACTACAGCCGGAACTTGCGCCCCTACCCGCCTTCAGATTTCCAGAAGATAAACCCTTCCCGTTTCAACGAACAGGATTAGATCTCTTTGGACCGTTTGCTTCGAAAACCGTAGAAAACTACAACAAACGCTACGGCGTTATAATGACTTGCCAAACAACACGAGCCGTACATCTTGAGATGTGCCAGGATCAATCAGCCGACGCCTTCATCAAAACGTTACGACGATTCTTCGCTCGCAGAGGACAACCAGCCAAAATTGTTTCTGATGATGGTACAAATTTCACCGCAGCCGAAAAAAGAACTCAACAGGCACTTCGACGCCGATGTTACACGACAATTCTACGCCAACCATCAGATTGAATGGACCTTCAACCCTGCCTATGCTCCTCAAAGACTCGTTCTATGCCATCATAGGAAGCCAGATTCTAACAGACGACATATTCAACACCATTCTTTGCGAAGTTGAACACTTCATGAACGCAAGACCCATCACTACAGTTTCAGCATCCCCCGATGATGTTGAAGCCCTCCCCCAAGCGTCCGAAAGGCTTCCACCATGTTACTGATGAATGTGGAAAATTCCATGTACGAATCCCTGCGATGAGTTGATGGTTGCTTGAAGCTCTGTAGTCTGTTGACGAAGTCATTGATGATGATGTCGGGTCGTCCATATCGTCGTCGTAGTTCCTGGAGGGCAGCGTTGTACATAGTGCTATTGAAGGAGTAGCCAGAAATAGCTTGTTTTGCTTTTCCAGTCGTTAAAGTCTGCAGATGAGTCATATTTTTGGAGTCCGAGATGGCTTGATTGTGGATTGTTGCTTCGTAGAGTCCGAACCACATGCTCCACTTCATAAGGTTTCCGTTGAAAGGCTCGATTTTTATTTTTGGGGGCCTAGTCATAAGACTGTAGTTTGCTCGTGACTGTCAGTTACTTGATGTCTGAGATACTGTTGCTGGAATGAACTGCTGTTCTGTAACTATGTTGAAGCTGAGGTTTGCGTTGGTGGTGTCGTGTTCTGTTTGTTGAAGTGGTGGTCTGTCTATTTCGAAACCTGTCAGGGGGACTTGAGGCCGAGTGTATCGTTACTTACTCTCCATCGTATTCCGAGAATTCGCTTGAAGATTTTGGGGTCCTTGATTTCGTCTATGGTGATGGATCTTTGTTCCTCTGGTATTGTTTGCAGAATTCTATAATCTGTAGTGATCCACTTCGTCAGGTTGAAGCTTCCTTGTTGTAGTACGTGTCGAAGGTCTTCTATGATTTTCACTGCGGTGTCGATTTCGTCGGTGGCTTCGAAGAAGTCGTCCATGTATTGATACACTCAGCTTCACTACTGACAAACTACACGAACTCGCCCAGAAGAAACCTACACAACGGAACCTACTTCGCGCAGCTTCCTCAATCTTTGACCCAATTGGAATAGCAGCACCTATTACGATTCGACTACGAATAATCCAGCAAGCAATTTGGAGAAAAGAAATGAAGTGGGACGACCAAATTACACGAGAAATGATACCTGAACTGTTTGAATTTCTCGACGAGAGAAAAGATCTACAGACAGTGGAAATACCCCGACACTATTTTGGATACAGCTCCGACAACATGGCTCTTCATGTTTTTTCAGATGCCTCCTACAGCCTCCTAGCAGCAGTCGCTTATTTTGTATACAGCAACAGTGCCACTCGGCAAATCTGCAACGCCTTTTTTCTAGGAAAAGCTCGAGTGGCTCCACTAAAACAACACACAATAACTAAATTGGAACTACAAGCCGCAATTTTTGGTGCTCGCCTCGCAAAGTTCATTCGCAGAGAACAAAGGATTTACATCAACTCTACGCATATGTGGACAGACAGCACAACGGCGCTTCATTGGATACAGGGATCTGATAAACGACAACAAATTTTTGTGGCTCACAGAATTGCAGAAATTTTAGAAAGCACCCAAGCGAGTCAATGAAATCATTGCCTAGGACCCCTAAACCCAGCAGACGACGGAACCCGTGGAATACCCCTCTCAGAATTCAGTAACAATTCAAGATAGTTCACCGGACCGAAATTCATATGTGAACCAGAATGCAACTGGTCAAAGCTACAGTTAATCGACGCCAATACGGATACCTTGCAACTCAACGATCAAACTGGACAAATGGATGAAATAGCAACAACTCCAATGCTAGCTTTTCAAGCTTCCACCGTAAAGACAGAACAAAGCTTCATCGATTACAGCAGATTCTCCAAATGGACAAGAGTTCTCAGAACAACTGCATACGTGATGCGTGCCGCCACGATTTTTAAAGATAAAGGACTACAGTCCCGCAACGAAAGCCCGACCACCGAACTGACAAGCAACAACATGATTGCCGCAAAGAACTTTATCTTCAAGAAGACGCAACGAGACAGCTTCAAACCAGAGGTCAACGCATTGACACAAAATAAACGAATCAACACAACTAGCAGACTTCGACACCTATCACCATTTCTAGACGAAGACGGACTCTTGCGAGCACGTGGACGCCTCGAGAAATCTCAATTGGACTATTGCATAAAACACCCGATTATCCTTGATGGAAACCATCCAGCAGTTCACCTCTTTATAGGACAAACCCACAAAGACAACCAGCATTCGCCATGCCAGCACTTGAAAAATATTCTTCAAAACAAGTATTGGATTCTCTGTGTTCGCGCATACATTGACAAGATCATAAAAAACTGTTACGACTGCCGACGACAACAGGCAACTGGACTACAGCCGGAACTTGCGCCCCTACCCGCCTTCAGATTTCCAGAAGATAAACCCTTCCCGTTTCAACGGACAGGATTAGATCTCTTTGGACCGTTTGCTTCGAAAACCGCAGTAACTACAACAAATGCTACGGCGTTATAATGATTTGCCCAACAACACGAGCCGTACATCTTGAGATGTGCCAGGATCAATCAGCCGACGCCTTCATCAATACGTTACGACGATTCTTCGCTCGCAGAGGACAACCAGCCAAAATTGTTTCTGATAATGGTACAAATTTCACAGCAGCCGAAAAAAGAACTCAACAGGCACTTCGACGCCGATGTTACACGACAATTCTACGCCAACCATCAGATTGAATGGACCTTCAACCCTGCCTATGCTCCTCAAAGACTCGTTCTATGCCATCATAGGAAGCCAGATTCTAACAGACGACATATTCAACACCGTTCTTTGCGAAGTTGAACACTTCATGAACGCAAGACCCATCACTACAGTTTCAGCATCCCCCGATGATGTTGAAGCCCTCCCCCAAATCATTTTTTTCTCGGGAGAGCGCATGCCAGCATGCCACCTCTACAAACCCAACAGCCCTCAACACTCAGTCGACAATGGAAATTCGCCCAACAACTCGCAACCCATATTTGGAAACGCTTGATGGAGGAGTTTATCCCAGCACTACTGCCAAGACAACGATGGACAAAGAAGACGCCGCCTATCAAAATAGGAGAAATTGTCTGGATTCTTCAGGATATGATGCCACGAGGACTCTGGCCAATTGGACGGATCACAGGAAACAAACCAACCGATGATGACCAGATCCGCGTTTACTTCGTCAAAATAAGAGACAAAATTGCGTCAATACCAGCCATTAGACTAGCACCTGTTAGTCCGGATTATTGTATTCAACCAGCAAACGAAGATTCACGATAATGAGAGCCTCACCCCAAAGCAGCCTTGCGCCGACAACCATAGCCGATAACTTCAACTGACACTTAAACGACCGTTAAGCCAGCGTTTTAAGTTTTATAAGTAGGAACTACCCCACCCCTTTTTTCCTAATTTATTTTGCAACTGCAAAATGAGGCCGAGTGTTATATGCCAATTTGACGTTTGACAACTATCTTAGATGACTTCAACTTTTCACATGCAATCATGAAAACTCCGGGAAAGAAATTGAAAACCAAAACTCAGCAAATACAAAATTGAAAAAAAAATTCAAAACTGAATTACCAAACACGTGCAACCAACTAATTCATAATCAAATCAAAGTTCAAAGTAAGAAAGACTCAAGTACATCGTGTAAATTAGAAACGATTACATTTTCGTTTTCTATAAATACCAAGAAAATGAATAAATTATTCATTAATTGAATAATTTAATCATTTTTTTTTTATTGAATTTTTAGAATGAATCTCGGTTAAATTACTCAAGTTATGCATAAAATATTAGTTTCTTTGATAATATTGACTATTATAATACTTAAGTTACCGATCAGCTTCTAAAAGTTAATATTTTTCTGTTTTCCTGCCTTTGGACTCATTCTGCTCTTAGACCAGTCTGCTTACTAACTGGCCATCCGAAAAAGGGCTGCTTGGTTTTACAACTAAAAATAAATGAAAAACTTTTTGTTTGGTTTCAAATGGTGCAAGCAAAAGTATTCACAGTTATCATCCTGGCAGCTCCATTTACTCATCCATTCATAGACTCTATAAGAAGATGACCACATATTAATTTTTAATTAACGCTTTGTTTTGATACAGTTGAGAACGGTAAATACGCTAGCTGATTCCTTCCCTTAAAAAGCGAAAGGTGCGAATCTCAAAATGTGCCGAAAAACCACCATTATTTTTCCTGTTACAATTTGTTTTGTTGCTTTATTTTGAGTAGTTGAACAAACAAATTTCAATTTTAAAAATTTTTCTTGCGAATCAATCAAATATCGGCAGCACGAAAGTTTGAAAAAGCTTCCAAGAAGTTTTAACTTTCTTCGAACCAAGATACGGATCATCAATGTTTGCACAACTTCTTTGCACGATCGTCAATTCTGATGAATGCTTTTACGCATTCGAACCTTTGTATTCTTTATTCGTCTCTCCGTTTACAGACAGACATTAAAAAAAATTGAAATTTTTGGAAAAAACATGCTGTTAGTTTAGCAACAATTTTTTTTTCAAAATGGCGGAAAACTTCCAGAAGCGTACCGTTGACATCTTTGAATCAAATTATTCCGATGATGTTGTCCAACTGTTTCAAAAGGACTCATTAAGGGCAGTTCTCAATTATGTCGACGTGCACAGTTCAAAGTTGTGAAAGTTGTCAGGTTGAATAATATGGAAAACTACATGGAGATTTTGGAGGATCTCTTGGAGCCTCGACCAAACGTGAAACGTGTATGCTATTGGTCTCTATAGAGAACTCGGGCTGTCTATAGCGGCAGGTAATATCTTATTTCACGAGCAATTGCTTTTTCACAGTTTGAATAGAAAAACCACATGTTTGCTAAATTTCCTCTCATTTGCGTGGAACAAGAATCAACCAAAAGACTACTGTCTGAAAATTTCAGATATTTTTTTTTTGCTTTTTGAAGTTGCCAATAAATTCGTTTGAAGTCAGAAAATGAACTCCTGGTATATCTCAGCAAAACAAACAATTAAATTTTCGGTAACTAAAACAGACCTGACACAAATCCTGCCTCCCTTCTTTCCATTATAGTGTTTTTCTCAGATTATTAAAATAGAAATAAAATTTGGTTTCAGGATAAGGACGTCTAGAATTTCGAGCTTAAGCCTCAAAAAATGCTGTGTTAATGTACAGAGTGTTGCCAGAACAGGTAATAGTAGGGATCTTAACCTATCGTGTTTTAAACTAGTATTAGTTTAAGTTATCTGAATATAACCAATCTACTATTTTATTCTAACTTTTTCACATGGCGCAGTCAAATGAGTCGAACCTACGAGGGCTAGAGTTTTTCTGGAATAACACATCGAGTGAAAATCAACGCGACTGGGAAAAATAGACAGAAAGTTCCAATTAACAGTTATCGCAAAAGATTTGGTGGACATTGAAGACGTAATCAACCCCCCGGTAAGACCCGAACTAGCATACCCTATCGCCGAACCAACGGATCCTTCCGATGATCAATCCCGTCGTGCAGAAAAAGACGAACGTCACCGACTAGCCATCCAAGCTTACAACGAAGAGATGAGAAGCAGAAAGGCAGAAGATAACGCAAAATTCAACGGACTTCAAATCGGAGATATCGACAAGAAATTAAAAATCTCAATTATACCTGGCACTTGGAAGAGAAGGACAGAAATGCCTCTCACACAAAAATCCTGGGCAAAGAATACTGGACATTAATTTTGCAGAATTCTGGGAATTTCTAAAAACTATATTTACGGTTTCTACAAACCTAACCTACGAGAGATATAAATTCTTTGGCCGAAGACAGAAAGTTAACGAGTCACTAGAAAAGTTCCACGAAACATTATCTGAGTTGGCAAAAAATTGTAGACTGGGCGAACTCGAGTCAAAACTAGTCAGATATATTTTCATTACAAATATGCGAAACGTTGAGATCCAAAAGAAACTATGCATCGAATACTTAAACCCAGAAAACGTGTTATCTTATGTACTTGTCCACGAAAACGGTACCAAAACACATCAACAGTACCTAAAATTTCCTGTTTATACCTCTGTACAAAGATCACAATATGTAAAAAACGAACCAATCCTAAACAATGTCAAAAGCAACAAATGTCGAAACTGCGGTCAGCAGTTCAAGAAAGTACATCTAACCGCAAGCCCAGCTAGAGATAGAAACTGCAATACGTGCGGTCGTAAAGGACATTTTGCAAAGCACTGCAGAAGCACAGCAAGATCACAAACGAATGTAGTCGAAGAAAACCTAACACCTCCCGAAAAAGAAAATTACCGGGCTAACCCCCAGGAGAATTCCGAATTCGAAGTCAACCTGGATGATTTTTTAGTTTTAGCGGTGGACACGAATAACCAAATAAATGCAGTTGAAGATAAGATTGAGCGTGGAGCGAGAACCGTATTCAAAAACGAGGGACTAGAACTAAAAAAGACGCTGATGGCATCCCTGGGAAATTTCAATCCCTATTCTACCGAAATTCAGATTGACTCAGCAAGTCCCATTTCATTTATGAAGAAAGACCTACTTCATGAATTGAAAATACGAGATAGATTTTTAAATATAGAAGCAGTGGACGAATTCACGAAGAAAGCATATCAGTGTTTCGGGAATACAATACACATCATTGGAAAAGTTTGAGTGAGGATTCGATCGATGGTTTGCGACGCCAAAGATCAAAAACTGTTCATTACCGAAGGAGCGGAAAGAAAATTCCTCGGAAATGATTCACTACCGAACCTGGGAGTAGAAGTATTCCACCACCCAATGGGCCAGACTTACGGAAGACCTCGAATAGATCACCCATCGGAACAGATGTCAATCAAATAAAATTTGCATCTGAGAGAAAACCGGACTAGGACCAAGACACATCATTACAAAGTGAGTTTAAAGCATACATATCAAGCCAATTTCCTGACCGTATAAAAAGAACCGGTTGATCAAAGAATTTTATCGTTAGCACCTATTTTAGCGAACCTATAAAACCGATACATGTAAAAGGGAAACGCATACCGATCCATCTTCTCCCAAAGGTGAAATTATGCATCGACCGACTACTAAGAGATGGTCACATTGAAAAATTGTCTAGATGTTCGGAAAATTGTTTTATCTCTCCTATTGTAATCACAGCTAAAAGGGACGGATCAATTAAATTAGCGTTAAATTCAAAATTGCTTAACAACCAGATATTTCGTAATAGACATAAAATGCCTAACCTATTTGAACTAATCAATAACGTCGCAGCAACAATTAGCGGACACATCGAAAAAGAAATTTGGTTCTCATCAATTGACCTCAAATACGCATATAGTCAAATACCGTTATCCAAAAAAGCAAGCAACCAATATCGTGGGGGGAGATGTCACAGGCTCCTATCGTTTTAAAAGTGCATTTTAGGGGTTAGGCGATATGCCCAATGAATTTCAACGCATAATGAACCGTATGACGGAAAAGTTACCAAATACACATTGCTATCTTGACT